GAATAGACCCCTTAATCATATAGTGACCCTCCTTCACTGCCAGTTTTTACAGTCTTTGTAGTTTATCTTATCTGCTATGAGTACAGCTACTCTTGCTCTTTATTATTTTCTAGTTGCATGGAATATGTTTTTCCAGCCCTTCTCCACTTTCAGTCTATATGTGTCTTTATAGGTGAAGTGGGTTTCTTGTAGGCAGCACATAGGTAGGTCTCATTTATTTATCCATTCAGCTACTCTATGGCTTTTAATTGAAGAACTGAGACAATTTACATAAAAACCCACAAAATAATTCTATAATTTAAAGCCATCCTCCAACATTTTGTCTTTTAGTTGTATCAATTTACATATCTTTATATTATCAACAGGTTGGTATAGTTTTGATACATTTATCTTTTGGGCTTCATACTAGAGTATGAGTGGATTGCATACCATAAATACGGTTAACAAAGTATTCTGGGTTTGTCTGTGTACTTAATTTTACCAGTGGGTTTTATACCTTAAAAAGTTTCCTTTTGCATGGTAGTGTTTTTTTCTTTCAGATTGAAGAACTCCCTTCCGCATTTCTTGCAAGATGGGTTTTGGTGGTGGTCAGTTTCCCTGGCTTTTGTTTATGCGTGAAAGACTTTAGCTCTCCTTTAAATTTGCATGACAATTTGTTGGACACAATATTCTTGGGTGTCAGTTTTTTGTTGTTTGAGTGCTTTGAAAATGTTGTTCTACTCCCTTCTGGCCAGCATGGTTTCTATGGAGAAGTCTGTTGCTCCATGAATTGGAGCTCCTTTATCTGTTATTTTCTTCTTATCTCTCATTGCTTTTAGGATCTTCTCTTTGTCTTTGACCTTTGAAAGTTTGATTATTATAGGCCTTGGAGTAGTCTTATTTGCATTGAATCTGTTTGGTGTTCTCAGGCCTTCCTTTACCTGGATATGTATATCTTTCTCATGTCTTGAAAAATTTTCTGTTATTATTTCTTTGAATAAGCTTCCTATGCCTTGCTCATGCTCGGCTTTCTCTTAAACACTAATAATTCTTAGATTTGGTCTTTTGGGGTAATTTTTTGTATCTTGTAGGCACCCTTCATTCCTTTCCCTTCTGTTTATTTTTATTCTCTGACTGTGTATTTTCAAATAGCCAGCTCACTGATTCTTTCCTCTGTTTGGTTCATTCTGCTATTAAAAACCTCTAAAGAGTTTTATAGTTCAGCAAATGTATTTCTCAGTTCCAGGATTTCTGTTTGACTTTTTTTATTATTTTAATCTCTTTGCTAAATTTCTCTGATAAATTTCTGAGCTGCTTTTCTGTGTTATCTTGGAGATCACTGAGTTTCCTTAAAACTACTATTTAGAATTCTTGGTCAAGAACTCACAAATTGCCACTTCATTAGAATCACTAAATTTCTGCCTTTTGTCCTTTTGGGAAGGTCATGGTTCCTTGTTTGCTGTAGTTTCTTGTGCGTATATGTCTATGTCTTTGCCTTGAAGGATTAGTTATTTATTCCAGTTTGCTTTGTCCAGCTTGTTTTGGATTTTATTGAATATATCTGCTTAGCAAATCTTTACTGCTAGTTTGCTGCCTCCTTTTTGGCTCTAGGTGGTGCCTTCAACCTAGGTTTACGTTGGAGCTAGTAAATGGTTTGACCACTGCCTGTCCCAAAACGGGGGAGGTCCCAAAGGGTTTAGGACAGCAGTGTGGGAAGGCTAGCTAGGAGTTCACACCCAGGGGACCTGGGGAATGTACCTCCTACAACCACTCTCATTGGCGCTTCCTTTGGCTGAGTTACAGAGCAGAGTTTCTGGGCTGGGGATTGTAGTCCAGCCTTGCTTGTTTGTCTCTGCCTGTCCTCAGGATATTTCTCCTTTCAGGCAGTCACAATACTACCCGTCAGTTAAGGCAAGGACAGTTCTCCTGACAGAGAACTGAAGAAGTGGGGAAGCTGGCTGACCATTTCAATTTTGCTTTTTCCAGTACAGAAACTGTGAGTTGAGGGGAGATTTTCCGCACAGTTGGGGCCTGGCAGAATGGGAGGGAGGGGCATCACACATGTGTAAGTGCAGTTCTCCTACCATCTGCTCAGAGTTTTTCCACCTCTCTTTGGCCTCAGGAAGTATCTCATCTAGCTCAAGCTCTGGGCTGTTGCTGGTGGAAGATCTTGGCACTGTATGTGTTTGTTTGTTTTTGTTGGGGCAAGAGAAGCCAGCTTATTTTACACTGCCATTTTAGAACCAGAACCAATAAAGATTTTCTTTAAAGGACACAAAAGTTAGTAACCAAAAAGGGGGGTGAGGGAGAAGATACACACCTCCCCGCCGCAAACAAAGTTGGATTTCATAAAGAGCTACTTTTCATCTAAAGACACCATTAAGAGAGCAAAGAGGCAAACCACAGAGTAGAAGATACACAAAGAATATGCCAGGCATAGTGGCTCACACCTATAATCCTAGCACTTTGGGAGGTTGAGGTGGGCAGATCACTTGAGCTCAGGAGTTCAAGGCTAGCCTGGGCAACATGGCAAAACCCTGTCTCTACAAAAAGTACAAAAATTAGCCAGGCATGGTGGCATGCACCTGTAGTCCCAGCTACTTGGGGGACTGAGGAGAGAGGATCGCTTGAGCCTGAGAGGTCAAGGCTGTAGTGAGGTGAGATTGCACCACTGCACTCCAGGCTGGGTGACAAAGTGAGACCCTGTCTTACATACAAAAAAATGTATACAAGGAACGCCTTAAAAAATATGACAGATAACCCAACAGAAAGTAAACATATGAAGATACTTAACTTCTTAGTTATCAGGAAAATTAAAAATAAAACCTCAACATGATACCACTACACACCCCTCAAAATGACTAAAATGAAAAAGACAGACAATAACAAGAATTGCTGAGGATATAGAACAACAGGAATCCTCATATATTGTTAGTAATAATGTATATTGGTATAACTCCTTTAGAAAACTACTTAGCAGTTTCTCCTGAAGCCAAAGAGATATAAATATATATCCCAAGTAATTCTACTCCACACTATATACCTAACAGAATATGTGCATACCTTCATCAAAAGGCATATATGTGGCAGTGCTATTTGTAATAGATAAAAATTAGAAAACCAGGTCAGGTGTGGTGGCTCATGCTTGTAATCCCAGCACTTTCAGAGGCCGAGGTGGAAGGATTACTGGAAGTCAGGAGTGAGACCAGCCTGGCCAACATGGTAAAATCCTGTCCCTACTAAAAATACAAAAATTAGCCAAGCAGAGTGGTGAGTGCCCATAATCCCAACTACTTGAGAGGCTAAGGCAGGAGGATCACTTGAACCCAGGAGATGGAGGTTGCAGCTGAGATCGTGCCACTGCACTCCAGCTTGGGTGATAGAGCAAGACTCTGTCTCAGAAAAACAAACTGGAAAACCAACAAAATGTTCACCATAAGAAAAATGGATACATTGTAGTATAATCATATAATGGAATACTATACAGCAATGAGAACAAATAATTCACAACTACATACAGCAATATGGATGAATCTCACAAACATAATGCTGGGCAAAATAAGAGACAAATATACATACTGTATAATTTCATTATATGAAGTTCAAAACCATGCAAAATTAATCAATTTATAATTAGAAGTCAGCATAATATTTATCCTTGGGTAAGTGTTGGGTAGTAGGTAATGATCGGAAAGGGACACAAGGAAGTATCTGAGATGTTGGTAATATTCTGTTTCTTGTTCTGGGTATTTGTTACACAACAGTGTTCACTTGGTGAAAATCCACCATGTCTGAATGTGTATAATATAATACCAACAAAAGTTCACTTAAAAACACACAATACAATTTTTTGGAGGATAAGTTGACACTTGATTTGCATATCTATATGAAACAATATGTGCATAATGACAACATACTTTTGAAAAACTACTAAGGATCTAATAAACAACAAAATTTACTATTTTAAAATTATAACAATTAAAATGTACTGGTACAAAATGGTAGTAACACACATAATAGGCAAGTCAATGGAACTAACTATAATGAATAGAAAGTGATACAGTAAATATGAGAGTTTTTTACTACGGCATAGATAGCATTTCAATAAATAAGTACATTTACTTGTGCACTTAAGTAAAAACATTAAATCTATAAGTTATATATAATAGAAAGAACATTTCTAAAACAGATAAGAGGATTTTGGTCAATGCTATCAATTCATTCAATCATTTCGCCTTTCTGAGCGTCACTGACTGACTTGTAAAATGATAGATTTGAAATAGTGTGCTTTCTATAACTTATAATCAAATTAATCAAAAATAAGAATTGTGGACAGGAGGAGAAGAGCAAAGACAAAAGTTAATTTTTTTTGTTTGTTCTGTTTTTGAGACGGAGTCTTGCTCTGTCACCCAGGCTGGAGTGCAGTGGCGCAATCTCGGCTCACTGCAAGCTCTGCCTCCTGAGTTCACGCCATTCTCTGGCCTCAGCCTCCTGAGTAGCTGGGATTACAGGCGCCCGCCACCACACCTGGCTAATTTTTTGTAGTTTTAGTAGAGATGGGGTTTCACTGTGTTAGCCAGGATGGTCTTGATCTCCTGACCTTGTGATCCTCCCACCTCAGCCTCCCAAAGTGCTGGGATTACAGACATGAGCCATCATGCCCGGCCGGCCGACAAAAGTTAATTTTAAAGCTTAGGATAGTACACAAGATAATAAAAGTAGAAACAGTCATCAGATTTACCCAGGAAAAATCAATATGAGGCCAGATGTGAACTAGATGAAAAGAAAAAAAAGAACTGTAAAGTGGCAAGACATTACAAATAAACCTGGTTTGAGGATTGAGTATAAGTTTCCTCGAATTCCTAGAGAAACAACTTATAGCAAGACACTACAAACTACCTCATTTCTACCTTAGTAGATAACTACAGGTTGATGATCCTGAACATTGTACAATACAAACACTAATTGTGTTATATAAAATCTATAAACTCTGAACTAGTGTAATTCAAGCCCATATTTACCTTGCAAATGGAAGACGCATCAACATGCACTGTTTACTAATTCGTTTCTTCTTGCTAGCTGACAGTAGAAAGGAACTCTGATGGAACTATTTTTGAAAAGAATAAAGAAAACAGAAAGTTTCTAACCTTACTAAATCATGTTAGTTACCACAGTACCAAATTATACAATGACATTAATAGTAAAAGAACATTTCTTGCATTTGCCTTTAATAGTTTAATGAGAATAATGTGATAAGGTTAAAACACAGTTCATCCTTAATCATGCCAATGAAAGATAATCACTGCCAATATTTTGGTAAATAACCTCAACATTCCTCCATGTGTAGGAATAAATACATGACTATACCTACACAAATAAAATATCTTTACATACATGCAATATGTTCATGTCTATGCATGTGTTATGTAATATTTTATTGAACTTTATAATACATCTTTTAAATAGCCTTTTAAAATTCAAAATCTGGGTGATTTTAATATATCTTTTATATATTTGCTTATCCACATTTCTAAATTTTCAGATACAAACATGTTTTTAATTATTAATAAAGACCAGAAAATTAGGCAACACACAACCATGTTTCTTATTACAGAGCTAAGCTGTAATAGAAACAAGGGAATGGTGCCAAATTATCAAGCTGATTTTAAAATTCATATGAAAATGCAAAAGACCTAGAATAGCTAAAAAACAAACTTTGAAAAAGAAAAAAGTTAGGAGGGTTACAGTAATTGAGACAGTATAGTATTAGCATAATGATAGACAAACAGATCAATGACATAGAACAGAGAGTCCAGAAATGGATTCACATATATTTGGCCAATTAATTTTTGACAAAAGCACAAAGGTCAAATGGGGAACCTAAACTTCCACACTCACCAGGCTATAAGACGACAACTCTCTTCTAAATCTGGGGTACCATCAAAAAAGGCTTGGGACAGCCCAGTGTTAGAGTACATCCCCGCCCAGCAATATCAGTGGAGGACATATGTGGATCTCCATCCTGTTTCATATTCTTTTTATGAGATGGTCAGTTGGGTGCAGCCATTAAAAGAAGGCAGAGACTCAGGAAAAAAATAAAGTTTATTATACTCACAGGTCCTAGAGACAAGAGGTACAGCAGGCCATGCAGAGCCACACAGAAAAGACACTAGGATGGTCAGGAGGCAGAAGATGGGAACAAGGGGAAGGTTTAGGCCAGAGCCTATTATCGGAGTTTCCACAGGAAAGGCAAGGCAGGGCAGGGTGAATAGTCTAGAATTGGCTAGTTTGAATAATTCTGGCAGGCTCTAAGACATAGGAGAGGTAGGTCCCTGGTTGCCTAGTACCTGACCCAGGGACAATCAAAGCAGAGGACCATTGCCTCCTAAAATATAAGGGCCAGACAGGGGAGGTATGGCTCTGGATTAGTTAGCTTGCATATCAAAAGTGCTACGGTTTGAATGTCTCCTCCAAAACTCATGTTGAAACTGAATTACCATTGTGATGGTATTAAGAGGCAGGACCTTTAAGAGGTAATTATGTCATGAGGGCTCTGCCCTCACAAATGGATTAATGCTGTTATTGCAGGAGTGGGTTAGTTACAGGAGTGTGGTCTCCTTTTCTGTCTTGCATGCTTTCTCGCCCTTCCACCTTCTATCATGGGATGACACATGCCAGCTGTCAGCATCATGCTCTTGGACTTCCCAGCCTCCAGAACTGTGAACCAAATGAATCTCTGTTCTTTATAAATTACCCAGTCTTTTTAGAGAATGAAATCTCAAATGAAAAAAAGAAAATGATAAATTACCCTGCATGTGGTATTCTGTTATAGCAGCAGAAAACAGACTAAAACAAAAGACAAGCTCCTGGCTGGTCCCTTGCTATCTCTAAAAATTGGCTAGCCCTGAGAAGGGCAGTGTCTCCAGCCAATAATATTTTAAAAGATGTAAAAACATCATAATACACAGAAAATAAAATGTATATATGCTATACATCCCCATTCAGTGATAGGAAGGAGTTCCCCTCCCTCTCCTCTATGGTGGGGATAGAAATGGTTTAATAAAGAACTAGGATTTTCATCACTCTTCAGGAGTAACAACCTCCCCCCTTCATTATCCTCCTCATCCTTATGTCAGCAGAGGCCATGAAAGTAATGAGGTGCCCTTCCCTGTTCCAGCCACAGTGGTGTCAGCCTGAACTCCCAGCTCCACTCATCAGTTATGCCCACCACAGTGTTGTCAATAGAGGCTGAATGGGAAGTCTAAACTTCAGTACCCACTTGGCAGTAGGCAGCACCTCCCCTTACCACCAGTGTAGTGTCAAAGGAGGTCTCCTTAAACAGAAGATGGAAATAAGATCCAATGTCTTATAATGCACCTAAAATGTCCCAAGATACAGTCGAAAATCAATCACTCGTCATGCCAAAAATCAGGTAACTCTAAATTTGAATGAGAAAGGACAACAGATACCAACACTGAGATGACACAAATGTTGGAATTATCTGACGAAGATTTTAAAAAAGGTATCATAAAAATGCTTCAACAAGCAATTACTAACATGCTTAAAACAAATGAAAAAATGGAACATCTCAGCAAACAAATAGATGTAAAGAGCCAAATGGAGCTCAGAACTGAAAAATGTAATAACCAAATAAAACAAATTAAATGAGCTCAACAGCAAAACCAAGAAAACAAAAGGGGGAAAAATCTGTGAACTTGGAGATAGAACAATAGAAATTACCCAAACTGAACAAGAGAGAAAAGAGACTGAAAAAAATAACAGAGAGTTAGGGATTTGTGGAATAGCAAAAAAGATAAAACATTCATGTCATCAGAGTCCTAGAAAGAAAGGAGAAAGAGAAAGAGTGCAGGACTGGAAAAGTATTTGGGGACATAATGGTTGAACATTTTTCCAAACTTGATAAAGACATCAACCTACAAAACATAATGGTTGAACATTTTTCCAAACTTGATAAAGACATCAACCTACAAATTCAAGAAGCTGAGTGAACCTCAAAAAGATAAACCCAAGGAAATTCATGGCAAAACACATCAAAGTCAAAATTCTCAAAACTAAAGACAATTTAAAAAATTGAAAGTATTGAGAGAGAAATGGCATCTTACCTACAGTTAACAATAAAAAAAGCATTGACTCAAAGTTAGAAAAGTAACAATGAACCACAAAAAGGCAAAATAACTTATTAAAAATAAAAGCAAAAAATGTCTGAAACATCAAACATTAAATTAAATTAGAAAGATGGTTCTTTTAAAAAAGAATAAAATAAAATAGAAAAACCACAACAACCTAAGATAGTTGGGGCAGGGGGGAAGACAAATAAAAGCCCAAATACACAAAATTAATCAACTGGGGAAATACAACACAGACAAAATTAAGAATAATGACAGACTACTCTGGTCAACTCTGTGAACATCAATTAAAAAGCTTAGATTAAACAGATAACTTTCTAAGGAAAAATAATTCAATAAAACTAAATACGAAAGAAAGACATTTTCCTAAGGGGACCAATATCCATAGGATAAATAAAGTCAACAAAAAGCTACTATCACTCTCATCAAAAAAGTCCCAGGTCCAGATGGTTTCAAAGAATAATTCTACCAAACCTTTAAAGAAAAACAATTATAATACTGTATCACTTTTCAAGAACACAGAAAAAGTAAGACATCCAAATTCTTTTTATGATCTTAGTATATATATCATTGTTATCAATGCCTAAAGACTGTATGGTCTTATGTTTTTTTCTATGCATAGAAAAAAAACTTCAGAGTCCTCACTTATAACTAACAATAGAAAAATCCTAAAGAAAACTGGCAAAAAAGAATTCAGCAGCGCATTAAATGAAAAATAAATCACTTCTGAAGTTTATTACAGACATGTAAAATTAGGAAAGTTACTAAAATAAATAATCATACTAAGACACCTAAAAAGACCACATCATCATCATGCTAAAAAGATACTTACATTATTTGGCATTATTTTTATTTAGAAAGCTCAATCAAAGAGGGACTACAGGAAACATACATACCTTACTTATTTATATATAAAACAAGCATCATTCTTACTGGGGAAACACTACCTAATATTTTATGCATGTGTATTGTATCCTACTATGTTCTAGATGTTGTTCTGGTAAAGACATCCCTGCACTCAAAAAGCTTACATTCTGATGGGATGAACAATAAACAAAATTGTCATACAGTGTTAAGTGTTAAGGAGAAAGATGAAAGAAGAAAAGCAGGATATGAAATGTTGGTACAAGGGTTGGGAGTGTTTAAATTTATGCAGAGTTGCCAGGGAAGACTTCACTGGGGTCACTTTTGAGTCAACATTTGAAGGACAAGAACTTGTTGCATGCAGACAGAATATGTACAAAAGCACTGCGGTAGCAACTTACCTCTGTTTGAGGGAGTGGGAAGAGAACGGCACTGAAAAGGTTAAGGAGTGGAAGAAACAGGAGAGTAGTAAATGAGGTGGAAGAAATAACAAGAGTTTCAGTTTTCAGATCATATCAAGCAATAGATAAGACTCCACTGGAGAGTTTCAAGCAGAGACTAACATTTTAACAGGATCATTCTGGCTGTTATAATAAGAAGAGAATACATAGAGAAACAAGAGAAAAAGAAGGCCAAGTTGGGATGCTATTATTAATACAATATGTAAGTGAGAGAAAATGGTGCCTTGGACATGGGTAGTGAAAGAGGGTTGTGAGAACTGGTAGAATTTTAGACTGATTTTGAAGGCAGAACTAAAATGATTTGCCAAAGCATCAGATATAGGGTGTGAGAAAAAGATAGGAAAAGAGAGTTGTGATTATCTTAGATGAAAATCTCATAAGGAACTGGTTTGGTGGCAAATGTGAAATTTCAGATGCCTTTTAGACGTCCAGATGCCAAGTAGGTAATTAGATATAAATCGTCTGGAGGTCAGAGGAGATGGTCAGGCTGGAGTTACAAATTTGAAAGTCATCAGTATACAGTAGTAACTAAAACCGTAAGATAGAATAAAATTATTTAGGAGGAGTGAATGTAGATAGAAAAGAGAAGTCCAAGAACTGAGTCATAAGGCATTCCCAAAACTTAGGAAAACAAAGAGAAACCAGCAAACAGACTGAAAAAGAATAGCCAGAAGGGTAGGAAGAGACTTAGTAGAGTGTAGTATTCTAAAAGTCATGAGAAGTCAATATAAGAACCAAGAATTATCCATGGGTTTTCACAACATGGACATCTATGGTGACTTTCAGGATTTAGTGGATTGGTGGTGAAAACCCAGTTGGAATGGGATCAAGAGAAACTAGAGATAGTGAATAAATCTCTCAAAAAGCTTTGCTGTAAAGGCAAGAAGAGAGCTGAGATAGTACCTGGGAAATAGCTGGAATAAGAGGTTTATTTGTTTGTTTGTTTGTTTAAGATGAGAGATGATAACATTTTTGCATCCTGATGGGAATAATTCAGAAGGGAGGAAAAAAGTTAATGATGCAAGAGGGAAAGGCACTCTACACTAACACAAGCCAACAGCAAAGGACAACCCAAGTGTCCAACAACAGGAGCCTAGTGAGGTAGATTACAAGTCCACTCTAGATCTATCCAAAGCAGCACCAAAAGAGAATGAGGAATCACTCCACGTAATCATTTGGAGAAATCCCCAAGATATGTCATATAAAAAGTAAGGTGTAGAACATCTGGTATAGCATGCTATCTTTTGTGTAAAGAAGAAAAGTAAGAAAATATTTATTTTGTTTATTTGTTTGTTTTTATATAAAGAAAAAGATGAAAGCAATCACCTGCATGAGGTACAAGGAGAAGAGAGAATTGAGAAGAAAGTAGCTGAAGGCGGACAAAAGCATGTGTGAAACTTTATTCTATGCTTTTCTTATCTCGTTCTGATGTTAGAACAGTATGCCTATATGACCCATCACCTGCCCCACTTAATAATAACTAGAAAGAAAAAGAATTTTAAAGCTTGGTATGCAAAAGTTAGTCTGTTAAATAATAAGTTCGAGAAGGTTGCTACTAAGATTGTATACTATGCCTTCACCTCCAGCTTCTCCATCTACCTGCTGTCCAGTTTTTACTTTTCCTTAATCTAGATGTTGACCTCAGCCCTCTGAATTCTCCAAAAAGAACCACATGAAAAGCATTTGGGAAATTTAGAATTTGTTTTAGAAAACAGTATAAAGTAGGACCACCCTCTATTTTTCTCCCCAGTTTTTCAATTGTGTCCATCTTTAAAACAAACAAACAAAAACCCCAAAGTCTTTCCTCACTTAAAATGCTTCCTTTCTACTAATGTCTTCATGTTTCTTAGTCAGTTTAGGAGCCAGTATGTTCCACTAACCTGTCTAATCCTGTTACTTTTAATAAAAACCTAATTTTCATACGACATTTTCAATAACCAATTATACAAAATAATATGCTGTTAGCCAGTTAAAACTGATATTATCATCAGTCCTTTGCACAAAACTTGAAATATGAATCTCCAACCTTGATGTTATTTAAGTAAACTCAGTGATCCTCTGTAATCTAAAGAATGACACTATTTACATATAAATTCTACTTACCTCAGAAAGACTGCTCATTTCAATTGCAGTTATCAAGTTATTGTTCATGAGAGCTTCTATGTCTATAAGCTTCTTATTCTGCACATGTAAAATAAAGACCCCTTTTCATCAGTTAAGACTTGGAATGTTTTATAATATCAAGTGTTTATGAATGCCATCCATGTGAGAAAACTTAAAAAATAATTGATATCACATTGAGCTAAAAATTGAGATCACATTCAGCTAAAATGGCACATTATATAGTACCAAATAGTGTTATATAGTCCAAATAGTCATACATATCATACATATATACATGTACACACACACACACGTTGAATGCTTTGGAACTAACAATTATATGTTTTCCTATAAACATTTTTCTATCTTCTCATAATAATATATCACATGGCAAGAGAACAGTTTGTCAGCCACAGTAATTTAACCCACAAGTAGAGTAGGTCCTTTTTCCATTATAAATAAGTTCTACTTATTTTAGATTTAGATCTATAGTTGTAGCCTAGCTAATCATTGGCTCTCACTGCCCTGTCTGTGAACAGAGTTGAAATTTGGAAGGAAAAGAAACAACTATAATCTTCATTCTGTTTGGCTTGTGGCCAGGTAAATGCTGAGATTAAAAAACAATAACAACATTCTGGGAACTCCTTTCCTTTCAAGAACACTGGAAGAACTATGACCATCTTTTAAAAATGTATTAATGTACCAAGCTTTGCTTATGATTAGCAATCAAATGTTGGTCAAGATATTATACTGGTTTACACAGCACACAAGCACACATTTAGAATGCAGATTTAAAACACATGTTTTATTACCCATTAACAGTTTGTCCTGTAACATAGACTTGCATGGCATACTGACTTTCAATAATTTTTCACAATTGGAGATCTGAAAAATATTTTTAGAGCTTCTATAATAATGCAGCTAAAAGATTTAAGTTATAATTAGAATTCAAAAACAATATAGCTTCCATACCAAGTTATTCAGCTTTAGGCGAAGAAATGTGTTCTCAAAATTCAGTTTCTCTACTTCTTTTTGCAAGAGCATCTTTTCAGTTGTAATTCTTCGAGAATTCTCTTTTTCTCTACTAAGAGCCTGAGCTAATGCCCTGTTGTTGTGCTTTAAAGATATTTTGAAAATAGAAGAATTATCTGTAAAAAGATTTTTAAAATGAGTTAATATTGAACTTACACCTTAATAAATTTTTGTATTCCTTAGAAAAACTACATTAGACAAAATGCATTTCACTTTGTAAGTTTTAACTGAAGATTAGAAAAGAGAATAACAATACAGATGTAGTTTTGAGAAAAATAAACTCACAGTTTAGAGCTGAAGAAATGAAAGCTAGACAGAAGATGATGAATTCAAGAGTTGTGAGGAATGCAGAATATATATAAAAAGTTAGGAATAAGAGGACTGCAGCACAGACACGGCATTCTACATAATTAGATCAGTCACAAAAACTAAATATTGATACTTGCTGCTTGACCTGCTTTCCTGCGTTTGACTAGCAGACAGAATGGAGAAACTGATTCTGCAGCTCTAACTGGAAATGTCCCATAGGAATGAGGATAGCCAATCTGTGAAAATTCTAAAGCCAGTCTCTACAGCTCCAGAACTGAAGAAATTACTTAATACTCCCAAAGTCCATTTTCAAACTTTGAGTGATAGAGGCATACTTACTCTAATGTTAGACGGATAACTCCCTAAACCCCGTGGGACCTCGTACTGCCATCTAAAAGATCCTACCTCTTATTTCTAGGCATCTACTGCAATCTAAACTTGACTTCTCTTTAAAAGCACTATGTAAATATGATTTAAATCACTCCTGAAATGCTTTTCTGTTGGAAGCAAAGAAATTTCCTTGTGAATTCATTGGTAGAGCTTACCTTAAATACAGTGTGTTCCCTTAGTACATTTAAAACATCATTATATTTTCATAATTTTAACTTACATGTCACCATTCAATAACATATGCCACTGAATAAAAGTCTAGTGTATGTGAAATAAGTTTTATAAAATTTAATAACATTTTGTAAGTACTCAGGGAAAACTTGGGATTCTGCAAAACAGGGTCCAAAACAGTACTTTACCTTTGGCAGAGAGAGTAGTTTTGGACAGCCATCCTTGGCATAGCAAAGGGAAATTGACTAGAACCAGCTTAGGATTTCCAGAAGATAAAGAGTAATAACATTTTCCTATTGTACTCCTCAAAGTCAGCATATTCCTTCATAACATGGGGTATGGAATAGTCTTGCCAAAGGGAGGAAGCAAGAGCCAGTGTAAGAAGTGGCCCTAGAAACCTGGGTGGGAGCTGCATCATGATTTACAGGCACCCAGGAGGCTGGGTTGTTTTAGAAGTCACACGTGATTGTCCTTCACAGAGCTGTATCAGCAGATAATGTGACTAAAAGGGTACCTCCCCCGACTCCTGCTAAGATGGTTATCAACATTGAGATAATGTTCAGAAGTAATGAAAATTTATCTTGGAGTTTTCCCACCTCCTTTCTTTTTTTTTTTTTTTTTTGCCCGTCTGATGCCTTAACTCCAGAATTCATGAAATTCCATTTCCAAAGTGCTCAGTGTCTTCGTAAGATTGCCTATATAAAGTCACACACACATATATATAAAAGCACCCAGTGTGAGCCAACCTCCTCTAGGCTACCCATCATCCAGTTGCCACAACATGCCAGAACAACCTGCTACACTTATTACGTCTTTTCCAGAAAAATCATGTTGGTATTTTTTTCTGCGCTGTAGAAACTAGCTGTCTTGGGCCACTGCAGCCTCACTGCTGAAAATTCAGCTGTCACACTTAGGGTAAATCATCAAAACCACCCAACTAACAGGAGTCAAAAGAGATAGGAAGGATCAAATTTAAAAAGTTATCAGTTAACAAAATAGTCATTTTAGTAATTTTCTGTACTTGATAAAATAAGGTAGAAAACAAAACAATTCTGGGGAAAAGTTAAAATGTGAGTATATTTTAAAACTAATGGCACTTACTTAGAATTTTTGTTTTTATTTTTGAAGCCAGAGAAACATTCAACTTAGCAGTCTTTGAAATTCTTTTGTCTTTCACATGTCTCTTAATTCCTGAGGTAAAAAGTGAGCCAGTTTCCATCACTGGGCACGCCATCACTGAAGTGAAAGAAAAAAAAAATCATAGTATTGATTAATAAAAGAAAAAGGATAACTGATAAATACGTTTTAAAAAGTAATAATCATGACTGAATATATTCTGTGCATTAAGTATTTGCTAAACTTTGTATAAAATCTGAAAGTATGAATGTAATCAAAAGTGGCTTAAGGTATAATCCAAAAAGGTAAATGATTATTTTTTTCATTTAAACCTACATTAATCATCTATATACCAGGTGCAGGGGACAGATGACAGGATATGGTCTCTGCTCTCATGGAATGCATGGAATGTGGGTACAGACAGTGCTTTCATACAATGTAAGAAGTGTAACCTTAGAGATATACATAGAGTTTAAAGGAAGTACAGAAGAGATATACCTAATCCAAGGTGGGGAAGGGGGTTGGAGAAATAGGAAATCTTAAATTTGTCTATTAGATTTATGGCCTATTATAGAAACAGGAAGATAAACAAATCATTACATTATAGTATTACAAGAGTAATAGCTACAATACACAATGCAGAGGAGAAGTGATTAACTGTGCCTGGGCAGAGGAAAAGGATCAGAAATAGCTTCACTGAGAAGGAGCGCCTGATGTTGAGTCATGTAAGACCAACCTCCCCATGGCTCCATTTCCTTCCCAAGCCTCCTTACCTCCATCTGCAGAGATCTAAAAAAAAAAAAAAACCCTGTCCCCTGCACCTGCCTAACCCTCAATACTCAACCTCCCCACCACTACTTGCCTTGAGTCCATAGGACTCAGCTCACTATGGCAATCCAGAACTCAGCTCACTATGTCAATCATGGCAAGAATCCCTCAACTCCTGGGTCACATTCATCCCCCTCACTCGAATCCCCTCAGCTCTACACATTCCTCATCTGGTCCTGTGGTAAGCTGGAAAATGGCCCCCCAAAGTTATTAGATCCCTTTAATTTTAAACTTCATGTGGAAAAACAGCCTTTGCAGATTTGAATAAGTTGAAGATCTTGTAATGGGGAGATTAATCTGGATTATCCAGGCAGGCCTAAATACTATCACAAGAGTCCTTACAAAAGACAGCAGAAACAGGAGTGATGCAGCCACATGCCAAGGACTGCCAGCAGCCATCAGGAACTGACAAAACAAGGAACAGATTCTCCTGAAGAGCTTCCAGAGAGAGTGCAGCTGGGAATACACCTTGAGGGGTGAAAAATTCAGTGATAACTGAATTTAGACTTCTGGCCTCCAGAACTGTGGGGAAATACATTTCTGTTGTTTTAAGCGCCTCATTTATGATAATTTGTTACAGCAGCCAAAGGAAATGAATACAGCCTGCCTATCTTACCCTTGCCAGACTCATGAGGTCCTCTAGAACTCACATTCCATCAACAACCAAACCTCTACAGCCTCAATCTCTTTTCTGAATGTTCTCTTCATCTTCTTGAACCACCCTCTACCCTGAGGACACAGATTCTCCTGCAGTCCTGTCAGGCAGGGGCTGTTTTCCCTCCCACACCCCTTCTAGAGGCTACAACACATTCATGTGTGCAGACCATTCATCTTCCCTCCTCCCTAAAAATTCCCATCCTTGAATATACTGTCATTTTATTCCTTTTTCCCTTTGTATCAGCTCTTCCTTCAAATGACCACAGGGCTTGCTCACTTCCTTCGAGCATTTGCCAAAATGTCACTTTCTTAGTGAGACTTCCCAGTCCAAACTACTTAAAAATTGCACACTTACCCCCATTCTCCCCTTCTGTTTTATTTTTTTCCATTAACTTACCAATGTCTAAGATAAAATTAAATAGTTTATTTAATTTATTATCTGTTTTCTCCTACTAAATTGTAAGTTCAATGAGGACATAAACTTTTGTCAAGTTTGTTTGCTTCTGTACCTTAGTACAGAAATATGCCTGCCACATAGCAGCTGCTGGATAAACATTTGTGGAAGAAGTGACTATGAATGAATGGAAGAACTTTCCAATAGAAAAACTGCCCACTCTTGGAATGGGTCTCCTTTGAAAGTGTTAAGCAGATGTTGAGAGGTGTCAAGCAAATAATGGAAAGATGGTTTCAGAAATTTCTGCAATGGGGAATAAGTTGAACCAGAAACTTTTCAAGATTAAGGCTCAACGGTTCTTTTAAACGTTTTGCCAAAAAGAAACTTTAAAATCAAACATCACTATCTATCTCATAGACAGTAGAACACAGAAACTCCCCTCAAACTGTTGCATCTCACACACCTGAAAGGGATCCTAACATAGAAATCTAGTTCATCTCCCAAAAAATCCAGTCTGGAATATAAAATCTCATTTTACTAATTAGGAAACCACAGCTGGACTGCCCTCCCCAATAAACTGGTTCTGACACAATTCCTTAATTTAATAAATGGCACTGTCAATCGCCTATTCAAATCCTCATGCCAGAAATCTGGGAGTGTTCCTTGACATTGCCCTGTCAGCCCCTACATCAATGACCTTACCAAGGGAAACTTTAGGAGCCAGAACCAGGCATTTGGAGTACTGCTCCAGGGTGATTTACCATGTAGACACTGAGACATTATGATAGTGATTACAATTGTGTTGGAGCTCCAGTTCCAACATTTCATAGCTATGTGATCTCAACACCTCTTCGTCTCAATTTCCAGATTTATAAAACCATAAAAACTCAGGTCATCTCCTTGTAGGGACTAAATGAGCCAATATATGTACAGTGTCTAGTACAGGACCTAGTATACAGTCAGCACTCAATACCAGCACCTATTTATTACAACTCTGTGACACTTGTCCGGCCAGCATCTCGACTATCTCTAAATACGAAATACTCAGTTCCACATTCAATTCTCCTGAATTGGATACCTCATCTAAAAATTTGTCCTATTCTCTACTGAATAGGACAGAACAGGACATCTCTACTGAATAGGGCATTGTCCCTGTTCTCTACTGAAATCCCACCTGTACATCAAGTAGCTCAAGTTCCAAGTTCCAAGTTCTTCCCAGTCTTCCATCACCTCTTCGCCTTCAGCCAGCCTCTCCAAAGGAGAGGGCTCCTTCGAGAACTTTGGCACGCAGTCCCTAACATTCATTTCGCAGACACGTACTGAGCGCTCACAATGCCCTAGAAACTGTTCAAGCGAGTAGAGCACTCCCAGAGACAGAAATTTGTTCCCTTAAGTAGCTGACCTAACTGGTGGCTCTCCCTGCTCGCCCTGCCGGACGCTCAAATCTCAGAAACAAGAGGCAGCGACTCAAAGCCAAAACAGGACTCCATCAACGAACCCCTCGGAGCCGGAGAGGGGCGCCGTCCCGGATCCCGGAGGACAGAGGGCTGAAGACGAGCCGGAGACCGAGGCAGACAGCGCCTAGAGAACCGGCTCAAGAACGACACCGATCCCGACAGTGAGAGGGCGGTCACGTCAAACGCCGCAGGCCACTAACTTACCTCTCTTTCAGCGTGGGGCACCCCCACCTAGCTCAGGGCGCTCGGCAAGCAGCAGCAGCAGCGGCTCAGGTTTAAACGCCACAGCCGTTGGCGGTTGCCCCATCAGCCAATCGAGTCCCGCGAAGATGGCGCAAGGGAGGACGGTTACTAGGAAGTGGAAGGCGGAAAGGGCGGGACCCCGCTGCGAGGGCAGGAGGGGGCGTGCCCAGGCGAGCCGGGGGCTGCCCTGTCTCCGTGACAGGGGTTCTCTTCTGCCCGGTGTTGGTGGCGGTCCGCTGTCTCCTGAAGCGTTGATGGAAAAGAAAACGCTTCTCTGACATTCATTATCAATCACATGTCTGAAAGGCTTGACAGCCACCTCAAGTCTGTTAGAAGGTATATGTTGTTTACTGGGATACTACTCACCCACATCTTACCATTTCTTCTGCATCCTTGCATTTCCAGTTGTGATACCAGCACCTTTAGTTTTCACTTAAAAGCTCTCCCCATGTTTCTTTTAACTTCTGGGGGGAAAAGGAGCAATGATATTTCGTTGCAAACCCCGGATCTCATTAATATTTAGGTCTTGCACTAATGGTTTGTTTTAGCTGAATATACAAAACTGACGTTTTCCATTATACGCAACTACATTTTAAAAATGTATTATTCACCTTATATTCCATGTCAATTCGCTTATTTTTCGCAAATTACTTTCATAATCTTTACAAAGAATTTGGAGAAACTACAAAGAATAAAATTTCCTCTTTGTATACCATTGGACTGAAAATGAAAATAGCTTGTTAAATCAAGGTTCCAATAATTGATTATACATAATGCAGTCAACTTCATACTCTTCTCAATTTTTTGTTCATTCGAAGACATTTGAGAATTACTTTTACTTTAGAGAATCTAGACAAATGATGCAAAACATGCTTTTGAGTTCAGACCTTTTAGTCTAATACATATCATGATCAGTCTCCAAACAGATCTGGTTACATGAATCTTGTGTAAGCAGAAAAGTATTTACTGATTGTCCAGCTGCTAACATTCCAGAAGACAGTAAAATAAAAATTTCAATAACAGTGGTTAGAAAGTAATATACTGGTTATAGAAATTTGTGCTTACCTAGGAGTTAACTAGCACTGTATCTTGCTTACCCAGCCTGACACATTAAATGCTCAATGTATATGTTTTTTAAAATGAACCTTGTAGTGACTGTGCCATTTAATGGTTATTAAATCTTGGCCAAACCACTTAATCTCTCTGGGCTTCTGTTTCCTCATTTGTAAAATGGAGTTAATAACAGCATCCCATATATTTTATGATGGTTTCAATCAATGGGCCCTTTTGTTCAAATGCATTGATATCGCTTTCTTCCCAATGGACACATTTTGTAGCTACAGCTTCAAAACCAAAACAAATTGAAAAGGGAGACAGGAAAGTCAGAGGTAGGGGAGATGCTAAAACATTTATCAAGACATGAATACCAAGACCTCTTTAAAAAAAAAAAAAAAAAAAGCGCTACCTTATCTCAGAGCAGTTGAAAGGATTTAACTGCTTTGTAAATTGTAAAACCTCTTGAAAATGTAAATTAGTATCATATACAACCATAAACCTAAAACGTATAATTAATCAGGTTAAATTTAATGTGATCTCAGTTTGCTTTTAGTTATTTGCCTTTTGCCTCTTGGTATAATGGATAGAGGCAGGAGCCCTGGATGAGAAGCCTGGAGATGCAGTTATTGTAGTTGTGGCTGAGTCATTAGCTGTGTGTTCCTTGTTTCAAGTATTTTATCTGTAAAATAAACCAGTTACATTAAATGAGCTCACAGGCCTGTTGTGATACTCTCCTCTGCACCGGGCACTGATTTTGTTCCTCTCCATCTGTTTTCCTTTATTCTTATACTCATTAGTTGCCTGATTTTCTCTACCTAAGGGTAGATTCCAGTCAATTAAAATTTGATTGTCCTAAGACACAATCACCCACACCAAAAAAGGGATGGGAAGGAAACAGAGAAAGTGTAACTGTCAAAAAACAAAAACCAGAAAAGCCCTCTTTAACATACCAGCATTACTAAAACAAAAATCGTCCAAGAACAGTCCCTGAGCAGGAGCCAAGTAAACAACACTGCAAATCAATAAACCAATAAAACAAAGTAGAAAGAGTGTACTTACATTTTATGAAACCATCTGACCTGATCATCTGTACCAGTCTGGCAGGATGCATTGCACCAAGGAAAACTAACCCAGGCTGATAGAAGCAGAAAAGAATATTGGGTGGGTTAAAGCGTTTCTGGGTGGGATAGAGATACAGGCTTGGAAAATAAGGTGAGCTTAGTAGCAGACGAGCACCTAGCCATGGTCATGCTACCAGAAATAGCCCTTTGAGGATGCAGCTGATCGTGCACAGCCAACAGTGGCACTAGATGCCGCCACTGGGACCACCACTGCTGCTGCATATGGGAAAATGGGCATAGTTGTGCTACAGTTTTCCTGTCACTGCTGCTTGGCATTACTAGCTCCTGTTGCTAGACCTGGTTTGGGTGTGTCTGACTAGTCAAACCTGAATCATATGCTACAAGTCCTGCTGCAAGGGAGTCCTGAACAGCCTGTGTCTGGCTTTTGTTGTTATTGTTGTTGATGATGATGATGATGATGATGTTGGCTTCTTAGTGAGAGGTAACCTAGACTCATAAGGTGAGGAATTACCCAAACTCAGGAAGTGCATTTTGAGTTAGGTGGCCAAAAGAATGACAAAGATTCATTTCAGTATTTTATGCAACTTTACTACAATAATTACTTTTACTTAATAGAAACCAGTTAAATAAGCTGTGCTGGGTGATGGATAGCTAATCATTGTAACAGCAGTAGATAATATTTATTAAGGGCTTATCATGTCCTAGACACTGTGTCAAGCCCTTTAAATGCCTTGTTAGTTCTCAAAATGATCCTATGTGGTAGGTACCATTATTTCCTTTTGAAAGCTGAGGAAATTGAAGCACCAAAAATTTAAGTAACTTCTACAAGGTTTAGTTAAGCGGTGCAGCAGGTATTTGAACCCAGGCAGCCTGGCCTGAGCCTCTCAAGATAGTGAGAGAATTACTTTGTCATTTGTCACTTTGGTTTTGAGGCATGGTATCCATCATGCTAATTTCCTCATGTTTCCTGCTTGTCAGCCTCCTCTTTCTCTTCAATATACATTTATCAGGAGCCCCTTTGCACCTGGCATTTTGCTGAGGGTAAAGATGGATGAGGCAAATGTTCTTTCCTTTTGGGAGACAGTAGACAAGCAAATAATCCATTCCTGTATATTGTGATATGTAGATGTTAAGTGAAGTTTGCAAAAGATGCTATCAAAGCACTTAGGAAACAGGACAGCTGTGGTGACTCACTGTAATCCCAGCACTTTGGTGAGGCCAGGGCAGGATTGCTTGAGCCTAGGAGTTGAAGACCAGCCTGGGTAACTGAGCAAGACCATTGTCTGAAGAAAGAAAGGAAGAAAGAAAGAAAGAGAGAGAGAGGAAGAAAAAGAAAGAAAGAGAAAGAGAGAGAGAGAGAGAAAGAAAGAAAGAAAGAAAGAAAGAAAGAAAAAGAAAGAAAGAAAGAAAGGAAGGAAGGAAGAGAGAAAATGAACGAACTGTTTTAGGAAACAAAGAGCAGATCTTAAAGAAGAGGGAAGACAAATCTTCAGGGGAAGTCACATAGCAGTGGAACCTCGAAGGCCAAGTTGGGTGGGATTCATTAGGCTGACAGCACATAGCCTGTCCCAGGAAGCAGTTCAGAGCTGCTGGGGCCCAGGATGCATGCGGTCAGATGCGGGGAGCAAAGGCTGAGAGGTTAGACAAAGTCAAGTAACAGAAGGATCTTGGGTGTGCAGCTAAGAAGCTTTACTTTGTTTGGACAATGAAGGAAAGCAATGGGGGTGGGGGAGGGAGCAGTGCTTAAACTCTCAAGAAGTTTAAGAAAAGGGAGTGATAAAGATCGGATTTACTCTAGAAAATCCAGGAGCGATGTTGGGGATGGATGGAAGGGGTCTTTGAGCCTTGAGGTGATTCAAGAATGTTTCTGTGGTTTAGGTAAGGGCAGGGAATATGTAACAGGAACACCAAGCTTCTTTATGTCTGACCAAGGTGTATGTGTGTGTGGAAGGGAGGCTTGTCTGGAAAGGGATAAAATAATCAGGGAACTTGGCCTACCACTTGTCCAGCTAGATAACCTCTTGCCGTGGTTCTCATGGCGACTCTTTTCTCTTTTCTCTGAGAAAAGAGCGTCATGCTGGATGACACTGAGAGACTGGGGTGGAGTCTACTTCTCAACCTCCACCCTGTGCCTCTGCAGGAAGTCCGAAAAGCTTAAAGTACTCCTTTACTCAAGATCTCCAGTCATAAAATCCAAACCATACAAAGCGGAGGCTTGGGGAAGGGGCCTGAAAATATAGCTGCTGTACTCACTAGCTTTACCAGTGGACTCACACTTACATGTACCACACTGCTGACAGGGTCCTGAAGCCCACGTCTCCACAGTTATTTCCACATGGACATTCCCTGGCTGCTGGATGGGGTCCCAGAGACCCCCATACCCTTCCTCATCATATAGCCTTCCCTTTTCCACTCTTCGGTGAAAATACAAAGGAATAGCAGTTGTGGAAAATAACAAACTCTGCTATTTAGGAGATCTAGTTGGAAATGTCCAGTAGGCTCACAGAAATAGAAATAGGGAGCTGAAAAGGGATGCTTGGATTTGGGAGTCAGCAGCGAATAGTAATTAGAAATCACAAGAGTTGATTAATTTGTGGAGGAAGAGTGTGTAGAGGCATAAGGAGAGTAGAAGGTAGAATCACGGTGAACATCAATGAATGGAGGAAAGATGAAAAGGCAGCAAGAGAGGCAGTGAGAGGTAGAAGGAGACACGTGGGAGGGCTGAGGGAGGAATGAGGGTTGGGAAGGGACTGCCAACCTGGTCTTAAGCAGCAGGAAGACCTG